GGCAATTTGATTGAGCCGATCGTATCGTATGATCAACCAAACCGAACGTACACCGTTCAATGCACACCTCATGTTACGGGTCCATACCAGGTAGGTTAGCGTGAATAGTTCCATATGCATAACAAACACATTTTGATAGTGTCGATAAAAGTCGAAGATGTACATTCTTCTGTTATTCACTTTTGAAACAGAATAACTTTATTCAGTATGAAGTGATTAATTCAATAAATTTAACAAAGAACCGAATTCTAATTGGCCACTGACAAAATATTAATGGGCATTGATCGCTCAATTGAGTAACTATGAAGGGAATCACATTGATAGATAGCGATAAAGATGCGTGATGCGATTAACGATGAAACGTTCGAAATAATGACTGACAAGATCGTTGAAACCAATCGAATGTGCGATTTCATAAACACAGCCGCATTGGAAAGGATTCAATGTGGACGCAGCATTGAGTTTACGATTAATACGAATAATCTGAAACCAAAAGAAGTTCGAGTGAAATTAATAAGTAATGATGATGACGATGAGCAGTCTTGTGAAGATATCGATCTGACGGTGATCAATAATGATAACGGTACCTTCAGTGCTCAGCTCACTCCACCTGGACCTGGCTCATATAAGGTAATGAATGATGCATGTTGATGACCATGATGCAGTGTTGATTATTAACTTCCTCTCCTGTATTAACCAGCGTTCAAATGGGATTCTCTATANATGAAGAGTTTTTCAACCGAGGATGCATGCACCCCCAGGGGGACGCGAGATGGCATGCCAGGGGGTGCGAGAAGGGGTGCTGTGGGAGGGGGTAAGTTAGGGGACACGAGAGGGGTGCCAGATAAGGTTTCATTTTTTATACATTAAAGTAGGCGAGCACAAAGTTCAATGCATACATAAGTGTGAAGTAGGCAGCACTCTAAAAATAATTCATTTAGTCGCGTTTCATTTAAAAACAATTCTTTCGGTCGCGTTTCATTCTTAAACAAGCCAATTTTGTAGGAGGTGCGAAGGCATCTTGAAATTTTCTAGCGGGTGCGGTGGGCAAAAAGGGTTGAGAACCAGATAAACTTCCGAATGACTCGCTCAAGTCTCCCAACTCCAACAAAATACTTCAATCGGTTGATAAGAAAAGTTTATTCATTCACACTTCATTTTCGTCGATTTTAGTTGATAATCTCTTTCGATGGTGAACAAGTGGCTGTGTACAGTGTCACCGTTCAGAAATCGCACACCGATGTCGCATCTGTAATTCAGATTTATGGATTTTCTGATGAGGGTGGTTCGTTGGTCGTTTTTAACCTGACTTTTCTTCCACGTCGTTGCCTGATTACTTCTGCAATAAAGTTCAGATTTTCTGTTTTATGAGCAAAAGTGCAATTACTGAAGCGAACACTTAGATAAGTGCTGCTATTAATTGGAAATGCATTTTGCAGAATCAGTCGTGTTGGGAGAGCGCAAAGTATTTTCGATTAATATTAATGGAACGAAACCGAATGAAAACGGCTTGGAAGTTGTAATGCAAGACACAAAGAACGCTGATCATGTAAAGAAAATTGACTTAAGCGAACAGGCCGATGGAAGTTATTTGGGTGAATGGGTAGCCGAAAATGAAGGTGATACTATGATTCGTATCAGTTTCGATGGTGTCATCGTGAAAGAGATACCCGTTCATGTGGTTCTCCAACGTCAGCGAGTTACCGATGCTACTCAATGTCATGCTTACGGTGATGGACTTTTGAAGGCTATCGTTGGAGAAGCGACTAAATTCGTCGTTGATTTTAAGGTGATATATTACATCAGTTGGAGATGTTTTCTTGTTCATTTGTTCATTTATTTGATTTGAAATGCGTTTGAAGTTTGATTTTGAATTATTTAGTGATTATTGCAGTCAGCATAATGGTTTACTGTTCAGAATGCAGGTGAAGGTGAATTGGAGGTTGCAATAAAAGGACCAAAAGAAACGAAATCAACACAAACAAAACGCTTGGATGGCACATGCTTGGTGGAATATATTCCAACTGCAGTCGGTGCGCATCAAATTGCCATCAGTTTTGGTGTTGATGATAGCAAACAACCGATCAATGGTTGGTTCGTTTGAATCATCATTATCCAATAAGATATTCCACATTGATCCACTTTATTCTTCAGTAAGCTCTATCAAATATGTCTAGCCTTTTACTCGAAATGGCCATCGAAGAGGTTCTCTTCAACAGTGCGACGGTTCAGCACTTCTTGAACTATGAGTTACACATGCCAATTGAGTGTCGCGTGATGGAATTGAAGTCGCTAATGATTTTGAAGCAATAAATTTTTCTGAAAGCCTATAATAAGCGTAGAATGAATGTGTTGTAACATTAAACAAAACGCGGAATAATCAAATGCAAAAATTTATATTTTGTTGGTGCCTCGACGAACTGATCTGCAAATTTGAGACGATGGTCATTGATAAATGCTTAAGCTGAATGCATAGTTACACAATTTGAGGTCGTGTTAGAATTTATCTGACGAAAGGAGGTCAAGCTTAATAGATGATGATCCATTTTACCGATACGTTTATCGGGTTTTATTGTATCAGAAGAAAAACTGTAGGATATATAGGCTGGTCTAGGAGCGTTCGGTTAGGTTGATGCACGTGAAGTGGCTGGATGATTGTGTATGATCTATTGAAATGTTGTGATTAACGCATTTACCTGCATTCAGGTTCCCCATTTCAAGTAATGGCAGATTATGCGATTGATCTATCAAAAATTCAGTTGCACGACTTCGAAGGCATAGCCATAAAAGGTTCGTCGGTCTCGTTAACGGTCGACGCCTCTCAAACGGCTGCCGACCGGTTAGAGGCACGATTGCCAGATGCTTTAACAAAACCACTCGTTGAGGAGATCGCTGCACGAGTTTATCGAATCACATTCATTGCTAAGTCTGATTGCTTGGAGGGCGATATAATTCCACTGGAGATTCTTTACGGTGGACAGCTGATTACCAAAAGGTTCGTCCATCGCAGTTTTGGATCAGTTGAATGTTGGCTCTTAAAGCCGATAGATATGTTTTCCTCATGAAAGATACTGTTTCATAGAGAAGATATTTTACATGCATTTTACATATTTTACATGATCGATTTTATAATTATTTTCAGTTTATTTCTGAACGGAGACTCCAACGTTTTCATCAAAAAATTTGGCTGAATTTTATTGATTTTAGTCCATTAAATTTCCAAGTTGCAATGCCAACAAAACGAGATCGTATCCAATTGAAATCTCTGACTGGTGAAGACCTCCCAGCTGAAGTGTATGCCTCTTTGCCAGTTTCATTTCTGGTCGATCGAATCGACAAAGGTGTCAGTCAAGACGAACTATCTGCAGAAGTGACGGTTGGTAATTACGCTTTCGTATTCCCCTCTACGGATTTGCATTTACCGCAGATTTATTTCAACTCAACAAACAAAACATTTATTGAAGCGAGATGTGAAATTCAGAATGTTATCATGTAGAAGATTATGTACAAAAAAGAACCGAATTATCTTGTTGGAACAATCTGTTAGTAAATACAAATTGATCTTTGGATGAATCGAGACCAAAATACTAATGTTGCGCTGCTACGACCTAAATCTGTCACCTTCTCATTTCAGAGGTCCCAATCTTACCGTTGAGCCATTGGAGAGCTCGGTGTGCAATTACGGCCGAGACGAATTTGTTAGAATTCAACTAAGATTTTTTGATCACATCGAAGAATTCAACATTCCAGGCTCCAGATGGCAACCAGCGTGAGGCAGCCATCGTAAAGTCGGATGTTGGTGAAGATTTTGTTCTAAAGTTCACTCCGGATATAATCGGTATATACAGCATCCTGATTTTCTTCAAAGGTAAACCCACCGCCCAGGTACCATACCGTCTGCAGTGCAATCCAATTGGAGATGCTCACAAATGTATCATTACTGGTCAGTTCGAATTTTTAAAAAAATTTCGTGTAATTTTTGCACTTAACAGTATCATCCCTTCTCACTCAGTTCATTGCAAAAATGGAATCACTTTGAATGATCAAGTAAAAAAATCCTTTACTATCAAATCGCCATTGCACTTTGATTCTTACCTGATAACCTTAAATTGAGACAACTGAAGCAAACCATGAATACTTCTCTAACGATAACGTCAATATGGAATTCATTCAGAAAATTTACGTGAGTTATTGAATAAATTTGAAATGATTTCAAGATCGGCCTGAAGAGGATGAAGGATGTTGGAGAATAGATCACGCAAAACGTTTTACGATTGACACGGGCAGTGCAGGTGAAGGAGCGTTGAGTGTGTTGTCACTAGAAGGGCGAGTCAGAAGTGAAATTAATGAAGTTGACGATAATCTTAGCGTCATTTCACTCATTCCG